TCAGGACGTCACGTTTGACGAGTCGGTTCCTCCGCTCGTGCCTTCTTCGTTTTCCAACACGCCAAGAGTCGATGTCCTGCTGCGCCGCAAAATTCGCACTTCTGATATTTTGTCGGCCGCTGCATCGCGTCGATCTTCTTGATATCCATCGAGTCGGCGGTCGTGGGTGGTGCCGATCGCTCCGTGCCGAATGATCTGTTCGGCACGCGTCGTCGTGTTTCGGGTTGACCTTGAGTCAACGCATCGAATCTCTCTGCTGCACACACCATGTCGCGGTAGTTGTTGTAGTTCGCGGCAACCACCTGTCGGCGGACTTCCATTTTTAGCCCCTCAGCATACGCTTGATTTTTTTCCCCTTCGGTCAGGTCGGTAATTCGGTTGAAGGGGCTCTCCATCTGCTATGTATACTGTGTTACACTGCCGAGCTGTTTATGCCGATGAATCTGCTGCCGCACTATGTAGCTGGAGTTGATTGGTTCGAAACGTTGAATTAAAGCTGCCCGAAACTGCGTCCATGACCCCTCGCCTCGGACCTCGTTGCTATTGTAAATCCACTCGAGCGCCGGGCCTCGTAACAGTGTTGCTGCGAGCCGGATCCGCATTGCATCGTGTGTCGGGGTCGTACAGCCAACGGCCTCGAATGAAATTTCGAGGGTCGCATATCGACGGACGTCGATATCTCTTGCATTCGGATTGAACGTTTCCGGTAGCCTTGGACGTGCTGCCTCGAGATTCAGTGTAGCGGCTGACGTTGCTGCTGGGTGAAGTGTCGGTGTCGTCGCTGCTGCTGCTGCCGACGCTGCTGCATTCGCTGCTATGTTTGCTGCTGCCGTGGCGGCTCCCGACTGGTTCGCGAGAAGCTCCTCTATTCGCTGGAGTGCCGCTCGCGTCTGGTCCAAGCCGTTGTGTTGTCGAAGATAGTAAGTAGAAAGATAGAACAGGAAAGAGGTTTGCACTAGCAGCAGTTGAGATACATATGGGAAACCCTAATTGGGTTGTACTCGCTATAGAGTACCGTACTGCAGACTAGACAAACTACACATTCTGACACACCCCCATAGTCAAAGTGGGGTGTGATCAGCACAACAAGCAGCAGTTCACAGTTTACAAATATAAGCAAAACTAGAGGCTTTCACAGAGGGCAAGTGAGGAGGAGGAGGGACTATAAGAGGAGAGGAGGTGGTGGGCGGCAGCTGAAGCTGCTGGCACACGGCGCAACTGGAGCAACTGGCACACGGGCAACTGGAGCAACTGGCACACTGGCAACTGGAGCAACTAGCACACGGGCAACTGGAGCAACTGGCTTCGCGGCTAGACGAGCGGTAGGAGCAACTGGCTCACGGGCGACTGGAGCAACGGGCTCACGGGCGACTGGAGCGACGGGCTCACGGGCGACTGGCGCAACGGTCTCACGGGCGATCGGAGCTGCTGGCTTCACGGCGGCCACCCCCCCTTCAACCTCCCCCATTGTCCCAAAACGCCCATTCACACACCCCCTGCTGAACCCTAGCTCCACACCCACGACACCCCCCTAGCGCCACGCCCGCGGCTCCCACATATCCACCCCCCTCAGCGGCAGCTGCAGTAGTGGGAGACGGAGGAGGAGGAGCAAGTGACGACACACACACCCGCCACCCCGCAGTTGCACGAGGGCAGGAGGCGGCAGGGGCGGTTCGCGGGCTGCAGGGGCGGTTCGCGGGCTGCAGGGGCGGCTCGCGAGCTGCAGGAGGGGCAGCGCGCGGGCCCCCCGAGGGCGCCACGGCGGGTGACGGGAAGGGGGCCGCGCGCGGGCCCCCGAGGGCGCCTCGAGGGCGATGGGAGGGGCTGCGCGCGAGCCCCCAGGGCGCCTTGACGGGCGACGGGAGGGGGCGACGCGCGGGCCCCCAGGGCGCCGCGACGAGGCGATGGGAGGGGGCGACGCGCGGGCCCCCAAGGCGCCGCGACGAGGCGACGGGAGGGGGCGGCGCGGGGGCCCCCAAAGTGCCGCGACGAGGCGACGGGAGAGGACGGCGCGCGGGCCCCCAGGGCGCCGCGACGAGGCGACGAGAGGGGGCGACGCGCGGGCCCCCAAGGCGCCGCGACGAGGCGACGGGAGGGGGCGGCGAGCGGGCCCCCAAAGTGCCGCGACGAGGCGACGGGAGAGGACGGCGTGGGGGCCCCCGGGGGCTCTTTGACGGGGCAGGTAACCGCCGCGCGCCTCGGGGCGCGCGGCGGGCAGAAAACCGCCGCGCGCCCCGAGCGCTCGGCGGGCAGAAAACCGCCATGCGCTAGGAGCGCGTGGCGGGAAGAAAAAACGCCGCGCGCCACGGGGCGCGCGACAGACAGGACAGCAGCGGAAGCTAACGGTGGGCCCACAGGCTAGGAGCGTGACCGCTCTGATACCATGTCGAAGATAGTAAGTAGAAAGGTAGAAACGGAAAGAGGTTTGCACTAGCAGCAGTTGAGATACATATGGGAAACCCTAATTGGGTTGTACTCGCTATATAGTACCCCACTGCAGGCTAGACAAACTACACATTCTGATATGTGTAACTCCGTATTTTTTCGTACGGAATTATCACCATTTTCCTCCATTTTGAGATTTACAAGAAGATTTTGCGATGAAAATAATTGAATTGTAGGCGCTGGTCGTCTTACTGTGAGTCAAATCGACTGTAGAAATAACGAGCGCTGATTCTGTAGGTCACGTAGTTCTCCCCTAGTCGAAAATCTCGTCCGATCTCGGCCGTTGAGAAGAAATTCGATCCGACGCTCCAAATTCCAACGTTTTTGGGCGAAATTCTCAGGGCCGTTGAGATTCGAATCGATCCGACGGTCGAAATTCCAACTTTTTCGCCACTGGACCTGAGGAGTGTTCGAAAACTGGTTCAAGGGGGATGTTAAAAAATTGCGTGGAACTGGTTTACGTACCCGAAATCGGCGCTTTTCGTCGTCGCCCCTACGGTTTCAAAAGCTAGGTTTTAGCGGTTGAAAAACTTCGCATGCAAACATGCTCTGATACCAAGTGTGAGGATCTAGGATCGAGCTCTGAAAAGAGAGTTTGAATTGAATGATCCACTTGGGTACAACACGAGGCTATATAGTCTCGACACAAAGCCAGTTACCCAAATGTTACGCGAATGTTCTGTGGGTCGCGAAGGGTCCCGAACAGAACCTTCCCGAACTCAGTAGAAAGCAATTCGCTGGAAACCGAATAGGCTTGAGTTCGGTACACGTAACCTGGTTCGGTGCTATAACTATAATAAAATATAGGAATGCACCTAACATAGAAAATCAAACATAACTATGTATGATAAAATAAACCCAAGCTAGTAATAACATAATAAAGTCCAGGCAAGCTAGAAAAGCCAGCATAAGCTGTCGTACTCTCACAAGTACGAATATTAGCAGCAGTAAGACGGACAGCAGCACAGATATGGTTTGATAACTAGTTCCCCTGGCCAGCTAGCACGCAACTCCTTGACCCCAAGGCATCCTTCTCACTCCCCTCCCCCCTCCCCCCGAGGGATATTACACTCTTAAAAGCGGGGTGAGCTGGGTGTTATGAATGAACTTGCAGAGTGCGCAGAATAACGAATAACGAGAATGGTTGATTATTGAATGCCGATACAATGAAAGTGGCACGACTAAATAGGGGAAAGGCAAGCTAGATGGGGGGATTCAAGAAGGGATGGCTCGGTGATGTTGGGATTGGAGCGGAGGCCGACTCAGGGGTGGTTCAGTGCAGCGAATCAGGCCGAACAGGTTCGTCGGATGACCCTCGGGATGACCTCACTAACGAGTGCCTCAGTAAGGATTTGTAAATCCTTACACTAACTAAAGGATAAATAATTAGTTACACTTCCACATTTCCAACACCCTAAATGCGTAATCTGGCCGGAATTCCATGTCATCCATGAGTAATTGATTTTGGTCAGCATGAGGGTGCGTTCTTGGCTGGTGTCTAGCTTGGGGCCAAGTTTGCCTGGTGTCAGACCCCTCTAGAACGTCTGACACAAGTCGAAAAATTTCCCTCATGCCCGTCAATTTCATCTCGTGTCAAGCAGCTCGGCCCGAAGCTAGACACCAGCCAAGAACACACCCTGAGACAGTTACCCTACACGTCGGTTCCACACACCGCATCAGTTCCTCGAATAAGAGCACGCCAATTGTGAAGCCTCAATCAGACAGCTGACGATTCACGGTCAATGAATCTTGTCGTTCCTTCCCGACATTGGATTCGTCAGCCAGTACTGTACAGTATTATCTCTCTCCCCCCTGGGCTTCATCCCGCCGTTCCTCCCCTCCCAACGCCCACACCCGCCGCTCTGTCAGCCGTCTCTCGAACATAAACCGCATGTTTGCGGAGGGGAGTCCCCTGCTGTAGTCCACTTGTGGGCTGCTCACTTGCTCCCTCCACACAAATCTAGGCTCCTCCTTACCTTGGCCCTGCCTCATTTTGGTTCGGTATTCGGACCACGTGTCTGCTGCTTGTTTTGTAGCACCAACAAGACTGCGGGTACCAGCCCTGCCCAGCTCGGCACAAGCCCTGTCCTGCATGACTACACCACACAAGCCCCTCGGGCCTCGGTCCGAACCGAAGCCAGCCAGCCAGGGGCACAAGCACCACACAAGTTCCCCTTTCCTAGCTCCTGCGGGTGGCCTGAAGCGGACTGCACCACCATCACCATGGTTCCCTTCTCCCCCACTTCTGCTTTACCCACCCCCCTCTTCCCCTGCACAAGAGGAGATGAGAGCTGCCTGTAACGAGTGTCAGCCACGCGTGCTGCCTCTTGTGATAGCTAAAAGCAGGAGCAAACGCGCCTTAACAACTGATTCAACGTGCCTGCTCCCCTTAACACAGATTCCCTTCAACTTACGTCATCTCCGCACTCAACGTTGAGTTTTTGAAAACCGTATAATACTCGCGTGCACTAAACGTTGCTCACGTTGCAGTGTGGTACTAAGTCGTAGTTGGGGCATTCTGAACAGATTGTGTCGATCCCAACCTCGGTGTGAGAATGGCAGCTTCACCGCTGTTACACTCCCTCCCAGTCGGTTACCGTTTTCGGCCGTCGGAAGAAGAACTCGTTTTCTCTTACCTCCTAAACCGCACATCCGGGCAAGCTTACGCTGCGCGTCCACTCCTTCAGCTGCCCGAGGTTAACGTTTTGCGGTGCGACCCGAGCAGCCTGCCTTCCGACGCGTGCTTCGACGGCGAATGGTTCTTCTTCTACCGCCCGTCGCAGCACGGCTCGAAGAAAGAACGCTCCGTGAAATGCGGCGAGACGGTCGTCGGGTTCTGGAAATCCACGGGAAACGACCACGCGGTGCGCCTCGGTGGGAGTAAGAGCAGCAGCAACAACGGCCAAAAGGCCCCTTCAGACGGCGGCGTAACGGGAATGAAGAAGAAATTAGTGTACTATTCGAAATCTGGACCGAGCGACCACAAGGGATCTAAGACGGACTGGATTATGGACGAGTATCGGCTAGAGGTGGAAACCGGAAGCGACCTCGCGGCGTTGGTGTTGTGCCGTGTCTTCATCAAGGGCAACGTCGCCCCGCCAAACGCGCCGCGTAACCCGCCGTCATTCGCGCCGGCTTCGCCGAACGTGAGCGCCGCGACGGTCTCACGACCGATGTCGCCCGCACCGTCGCTGACGCTCGGCGCCTTCGCGGAGCATGTGACTATGGCGAAGGGACAAATCGTGACGGACGATTACGATACTGTTAACAGTGTGATTCAAGCGAAGAAAATGTCTGCACCAGGCGCGGCGGCTTCTGCCGCGGCGATGGGTGGCGGCGACGCGGAGCGGTTCGTCGATCTTCTTCTCGCGAAAGACGAGGTTGAGAGTGGCACGACCGGTGGTGATAATCACGGATGTGCTGATGACGAGGAGCGCTTGCTGCTAAACACGATGATGGACGCGATTATAATCGACGACGGGGATCGGTCCGACAAATCTGGAAGCGACGACGTGACTGCATCGGTGCAGCTTGTATCGGAGGCTTTCGTCGACTCTTCGGTGGAGGATTCGGGAAGGTTCGTCTCGGGAAACGGCGCGAGCGCGATGGATGCGGAGGGGAGCGGGCAATTCGGGGGATTCCAGTCGCAGCACGGCAGCACCACGGACCTACCTGGTGCTTGCAACGGTAACAGCAGCATGGCGTTCGAGAAGTTAACGTCGGCGAGCTATGAGAACATAAGCATGGCTGAGTCTCAGTGCGCTCCGGCAGCTGCGGGAACCTGGAAAGTTCCTCGCAGTCCTCGAATGGTTTCCACTGACACTGTCGGCCCAAATGCTGGCGTAAATACTGGCGTAAATGGCGGCGCAACTGGCGGCGCCATTGGCGGCGCGGCCGCTGCTGCTGTCGCCACGCCATCACTCGCCTCGGGATTCTCGGCGGCGGATCTGGAGCAGCCTATGTATCTGCAAGGGGATGATGACGTCACCATCAAGGTCCCGGAGCATCCTAGCCAACGACACGGCTACACGTGGATGCACAAAGTTCTAGACTCGGCTGATATCTTCACGCCACATGTCAGTTCCGAAAACGGCTCGCCTGCAGACAAAAGCTCTGCAGAAAAGTCGGGAGCCGGGATTCACGGAGAGGGTAAAGGGAAGAGCGGATCACCTAATGGGGACGGGGGTTTTAAAGACATGTTTTCTGACATGTTCAGCGCGTTGACTCCTAGGGGGCTATCCTTTGGTAAGGGATTCACACCTAAGGCGTTCACGCCCATGGGATTTACGCCCAAGGGAGCTACGCCGAAGGGTGGCTCTGGTTACCCGTTTGCGACACCTAAAGCATTTTCGCCGGGTGTGGGACTGTGGCGGTTTCCGTCGATGACGAGGAATGGGAAGAAGCGGCCTGCGGTAACTCCAAGGAGCGAGTCCCGATTGGCGGAGGATCGCTTTGTGAGGGTGAAGCAGTGAGTGAAATCTCCAGCTGTGAATCTTGCTTGGGCGATGGTTCTGGTATGAGGAACTTATTTACTGAAATAGGGTGGGTCACGCCTAGTTCGTTTTTCAGTTCAGGCATCTCTGATCAGACCGGTTGATTGAGGTTCAGAGCATATTTTTCCACAGCTTGCTTACACTGAACTGAAAGTGATGACTGTTTGCATTGCCTCTAAATCTATGCGCACCAACCATGCATCCCAAAATTGCTGTGAGCTGAAATATGGTACAAACTACTGTAGTTGGTTCAGAGGGTTTTCTACTGCATGAAGAATTCTGACCTAAAGTGAATGAGCTACACCCATCATCAGCAAATAGGCTGTTTAGACGATAAGATATCAGTAGTCCTTACCTGAGTGCACACAGCCACACAGCAAGAATTTATACACACAGGAGCACATACATACGGTACCGGTACAACAATACAAGCACTCCCGATTCAACCACTCCAGCCTCCCCTGTACAGTCCTCACTTGTGCTTCCTCCGATCCCCTAAGAGCTTCTTCACTGTTTCTGTTAGTAGCTTGCTGTCTATAGGTTTAGTGAGGTACCCATCCATGCCGGCATCGAGGCACTTGTGATGGTCCCCTGCCATGGCATTGGCTGTCAGCGCCACCACCGGAATGTGCACCTCTGCACCCCTCTCCACCTCTCTGATAGCCCGCGTTGCTGCGTACCCGTCCAACACAGGCATCTGCGGTGGGGTGGGGGGGAAGTGGGGGCAGGTGGGTGGCGGCAGGTGGGCGGCAGGTGGTTATGGGTGTGATGCCCAGGAGCACATACCTAGAAAGGTGGATGAGGAAGGTGCAGAGGGGGTGTGATGTCCACGAGCACACACACAGCGACGCACACGACCCAACCAGGAATGGAAGGTAAGGGCGTGGAAAATCGCCCGGAAACTCAATTCGGCCAGGTGGCGAAATTGAACGAACCCTTTCACGAGCTCCACTGACGGTTCCGCAACCAAACAAATTGCATGGTCAAAATTTGCGAAGCTCGGTAACTGGTTACTTTCGCAACGGCCATCTGGCCGGATTGAGTTTTCTGGCGATTTTCCACGCCCTAACCCTTTCCAACCAGAAACATTCACGACCTGCCACTTCTCACATCCTTCCACCACCATCACTACTGCCACCAACAATTGCCTCCTTTCCCTTCCCATCACTCCCCTTCTATCCGATCCTCTTTACTCTCTCCTTCCCACCCACCCCCCACCCACCCACCCACACCAGGCAGTCCATATCCCCCCTCTCTTCCCCCCAAAGTGCCTGCCCTATCTCTCCCAGTCTCCACGCACCTGGCAGTCAATGAGAACGCGGTCAAAGTTCAAACGCCTCTGGCAGTCCCTCTATCCCCACCCTTCTCCCCCTCCCTCCCCCCCCTCCTCGCTCTGGCAGTCCCTCTATCCCCACCCTTCTCCCCCTCCCTCCCCCCCCTCCTCGCTCTGGCAGTCCCTCTATCCCCACCCTTCTCCCCCTCCCTCCCCCCCCTCCTCGCTCTGGCAGTCCCTCTATCCCCCCCTTCTCCCCCTCCCTCCCCCCCCTCCTCACTCTGGCAGTCCCTCTATCCCCACCCTTCTCCCCCTCCCTCCCCCCCTCCTCTCTCTGGCAGTCCAGCAGTCCCTCTTACCCTCCCTTCTCCTCCTACGACCTCCCCCCAACACACACGCACCTGGCAGTCCATAAGCACGAGGTCAAACGCCTCTCCCCCGTCCACCTCCCCTCGAATCTGCCTTGTCACCGCATCCAACGCCTCCTGACCGTTGCTCACCGCCACCACCGTCGCGCCCATCTTCTTCAGCATCAGCACCGCCACCCGCTGCAGCATCGCCACGTCCTCGGCCAATAGGATGTGCACACCTGGCGGGGGTGGTGGGATGGGCCGGGGGTGGGGGGTTTGTGTATGAGGTATGGCTTTGCACATTGAGTGCCAGTTGGTTAGTAAGATCCTGGATTTTATACAGACAGATGGGCATGCATGGCCACGGAAACAGACAGAAAAGCATGGAAAATTGTACACATACCTGCACACACAGTGACACATGCATGCCTGTGCCCGCGCGCACACGCTCACGCACTTACTCACGCACTTACTCACGCACTCACTCACTCACACACTCATGCACACACCCCCGCACCTGCCAGAGCTGACGCCGGGCCCAAAACAGCCTTCTGGTTGGCCGATGCCCCCGACACACTCGCACCCAAAAGTACAACACACACATGTGTTCACAGACACACACCCCCGCACCTGCCAGAGCTGACGCCGGGCCCAAAACAGCCTTCTGGTGGGCCGATGCAGCCGACGCACTTGCACCCCCTCCGCTCCTCTCCCTGCTTCTGCTGCCACTGCCACTGCCACTACGCTTGGCACGAGACGAAGAGGACGAGGAGGCGGAGGCACGATGCGACTGCGAGTGTTTGCGAGGGGAGAAGAGCGAGTCAATGGCCGGCAAGAGCCGTCCACTAGCAGAGCGATCCATGGAGGGAGAGGAAGATGAGGAGAGAGACGAGGGGGAGCGAGGCGAGATGAGTGAGAGTGAAGCCACCGAGTCTTTTCGGAAAGAACTGCGTCTGTGCTCCTCCTGCCCGCCCGCTTTGCTCCCGTCTTGAGACCCCCGGGATTCCGAGCGAGGGAACGGCACGAGAAGGTTTCGGGGCGTTCTGGGCGTGATTGCCCCTCCTGCCCCTCGTGAGTCCCCTGATCTTGTGTCCCCTGCTCCCTCGCCGTATCTGTCGCTATCACCACTCTCAGAACCCTCCTTCCTCCTTTGCGAACGATATTGGCCATCCCTTCTCTCTCCTCTTTCTGCTCTTTCCCCTCTCTCCCCTCTTTCTCTCCTCTCCACTCTTTCCGCTCTCTCCCCTCCTTCTCTTCTTTCTCCTCGCTCCCCTCTCTCCCATCTATCCCCTCTTTCTCCTCTTTCCCCATCGTCACCATCACTCTCATCATCCCTCTGCTCCCTCGCCTGTTCCCCACTTCTTCCTACCCTCCCTCCCATCTCCTCCCTCCTGTCTCTCCCATCCCTCCTGTCCCTCCCCTCTCTCCCTTCCCACGCCCCATCACCAGACCTCGGGGTAGTGAGGTCAAACTCAGAACTCCCAACAGGGGTGGAGAGGCAGGACTCATCCCCATTACTCATCTCGTCTGCATGACTCAACTCCTCATCCACTGCACTCAAACACCTCTGAATCCTCACATTCACATTTATACTCTTGCGCCCCTTCCCCTCCTTCCCCTCCTTTCCTCCTCCCTTCCCTCCCTTCTCCCTCCCTCTCTCTCTCCCTTTCTCCTTCCCCAACTCGTCCAGAACCCCCCACACCCCTCCTCCTCCACCTCCCTCACCTCCCCCACCATCCCCCTCTCCCTCCCCATCCCCACCTCTCTCCTCCCCTTCCTCACCCCCTCGCTCCCCTCCCACCCCCCCCTCCGCATTCCCCCCAATCCCATACTTAATATCCATAGCCAGATTCAACAGCTGCTCCATCCTAGTCGGATGCAGGGGCTTCGACACAATAGTATCGCACCCGGCCGCTCTCAACCGCTCACGCACAGAGGCAGGCGTGTTAGCAGCAACCAACCACATGACAGGCAGAGAGCTGTTGCCCCCACCCGCCCTGCAGATCTCCAGTAGCCCTAGCAGCTCGTTTAGAGGACCTAGGTCCGCCTCTGCTCCTGCCCCTGCCCCTCCCCCCGCCCCTGCTGCTCCCCCTGCTCCGCTCCCCCCTCCCGCTCCTCCTCCGCTGCCCACCCCTCCCGCCCCTGTAGTTGCAGCAGCGGCTGTGCCTAGAGCCTCTGCCTGCCCTGCTGCTGCCGAAGCAGCAGTGGCAGCGGCAGCAGCAGCAGCAGACGATGGCAGGGGCGGCGGGTTCTGAGCCGACCAATCACCAGGCTGCTTGTTGTCTGACGGTAACGGTAACGTCAGACCCGGAAGCATACACGTATCCACTACCACGAGCGCTACAGTAGCCTGTTTTTGCCCATGATTACTATTATTATCACCATTGTTAGTATTATTTCCGTGATTGCTGATATCCTCGCCGTCGCTGTTCGTGCTCGAAAACCCGCTGCTTTTCCGGTCGTTGCGCATTCCGGCCGAAAACGCATTTGAGAAAAGCCCTTCCATGCTGCTCTGCCGCCACACGCTCGTGCTGCTACTACTCCCGCTGCCGCCGCTGCTGCCCACACCCCCACCAGCCCCACTAGAGCTCGCATCACTGCCCCCACTGCCCCGCCGAAACACCTTCCCGAGAGTCAGGCTTCCTTGCTTCCACAGCCCACCACCGGCACCGCCCCCTGCTGCTCCTCCCCCTCCTAGAACCTTCTTATCAGACTGCAAACTCACTGTTCTTTCCAGTCCTCTCCTTGGCCCCCCTCCTGGCCCCCCTCCTGCTCCCCCTCCTGCTCCCCCTCCTGCTCCCCCTCCTGCTCCCCCTCCTGCTCCCCCTCCTGCTCCCCCTCCTGCCCCTCCACCTCCCATCCCTTCCTTGGCTAAACCACTCTTACCAGGCGCCTCCCATCCAGCCACCCCTACCCCTCCTGCATCTTTTTCTCCCCCGCCCCCTGGTCCCCCCTCTGCGCCGCCAAAGAGTGCTCCGATTCGCTCCAGGCTGCTCTGTCGCCTGTGCCCGCTGCTCACACTGGCTATGCGCGCTAACCGCAGAGGAGAGCTGCCTGCACTGCGGATCCCACCCACACTACTGCTGCTGCTGCCCTTCTCCCCCGCTGCTCCTCCTCCTGCTGTTGCCTCACCTGTTGCTGTTGCTCCTCCTCCTGCTGCTGCCTCTACAGAAGCCACTCCAGGTATCCTCCCCCCTGCCTCCACCCCTGCTCCTGATATCTCACTCCCGAACCCATTCCTCATGCCATCACCACTCCCTCCCGCTCCCCCCGCTCCTCCTCCCCCTCCTCCTCCACCTCCCCCAGTTCCACCTCCCCCGCTACCTGCCGAGAGCAGAGACCCAGCACTGCCACCAGCGTCCCTGAGGCCCAGCGACAGGATACCCTTCTTAAAGCTTTCCAGATCCACCCCTCCTCCCCCCAAACCTCCCCCTAACGCTCCCCCTAATCCCCCCCCTCCTCCGAGAGCCACCCCCAGACTGGTTTGCCTGCGCAGCCCCCCTCCCAACCCTCCTCCCCCTCCCCCTCCCCCTGCCCCCAGACCCCCAACCCTCGGCCAGGGTGCCGCCGAACCTGGTCCCGAACCTTCCTTCCCTGCTTCTCCCGAACCTGCTGCCGCTGCTGGCGGATCTCCGAACCTTTGCAGGGCGGCAAAAGCATCGGCAGAGCTTAGGGGCTGGGCGGCAGTGGAGTCAGAATTAGGGTTAGGGTTAGGGTTGGCGTTGGGGAAGGATGGGAGGAGCAGGAACGGGTCGTCCATCCTCATGCGCTCGTATGCTGCCTCCGTTGCCCTCGCCTTCTCCTCCGCTGCTGTTGCTACCTGCGTTGGGGGAGGAAGGCAGGCGAGAGGGGGAGAGGGGGAAGTTGGGACAAGGGGAAGGGGAGGGGAAATAATAGGGAGGGGAAATAATAGGGGATGGAACGCAAGGGGTTGTCCATCCGCATGCGCTCGTATGCTGCCTCGGTTGCCCTCGCCTTCTCCTCCGCTGCTGTTGCTACCTGCGTTGGGGGAGGAAGGCAGGCGAGAGGGGGAGAGGGGGAAGTTGGGACAAGGGGAAGGGGAGGGGAAATAATAGGGAGGGGAAATAATAGGGGATGGAACGCAAGGGGTTGTCCATCCGCATGCGCTCGTATGCTGCCTCGGTTGCCCTCGCCTTCTCCTCCGCTGCTGTTGCTACCTGCGTTGGGGGAGGAAGGCAGGCGAGAGGGGGAGAGGGGGAAGTTGGGACAAGGGGAAGGGGAGGGGAAATAATAGGGGATGGAACGCAAGGGGTTGTCCATCCGCATGCGCTCGTATGCTGCCTCGGTTGCCCTTGCCTTCTCCTCCGCTGCTGTTGCTACCTGCGTTGGGAGAGGAGGGAACCGGGTGTGGTGAGAAGCGAGAGGGAGGCAGGGAAAGCAGGGCAGGAGGGTTGGAACAAGAAAATATGGTCTTTCTTTATAGATACCTGAAAGGAAAGAGGAGACGAGGGTCAAATGTCCACAAAGAAGGATGTCCGGGACAAGAGAGGACTGTTTCTGTGTACCCATCTGGCGAATGCGGTCGACCATCTCCTCCCACGCGCCCACCTCCACCACAGTTAACCCTCTCTGCCTCAACCCCAGCACGGTTATTGAGGCGCCTCAAAATCAACCCCAGCACGGTTATTGAGGCGCCTCAAAATCAACCCCAGCACGGTTATTGAGGCGCCTCAAAAATCAACCCCAGCACGGTTATTGAGGCGCCTCAAAATCAACCCCAGCACGGTTATTGAGGCGCCTCAAAATCAACCCCAGCACGGTTATTGAGGCGCCTCAAAATCAACCCCAGCACGGTTATTGAGGCGCCTCAAAATCAACCCCAGCACGGTTATTGAGGCGCCTCAAAAATCAACCCCAGCACGGTTATTGAGGCGCCTCAAAATCAACCCCAGCACGGTTATTGAGGCGCCTCAAAATCAACCCCAGCACGGTTATTGAGGCGCCTCAAAATCAACCCCAGCACGGTTATTGAGGCGCCTCAAAATCAACCCCAGCACGGTTATTGAGGCGCCTCAAAATCAACCCCAGCACGGTTATTGAGGCGCCTCAAAAATCAACCCCAGCACGGTTATTGAGGCGCCTCAAAATCAACCCCAGCACGGTTATTGAGGCGCCTAAAAAATCAACCCCAGCACGGTTATTGAGGCGCCTCAAAAATCAACCCCAGCACGGTTACCCCATGCACACCCCATCCCAGCAACACCCACACACCAGCGCAAACTCAAACCACCCACCCACCCACCCACCCACCTGGCGAATGCGGTCGACCATTTCTTCCCACGCGCCCACCTCCACCACGGTCAGCCCTCGCTGCCTTAACCACTTCCCCGCCACCTCCCTCCCCGGGCACGCGCCCATCACCAGCAGCACGTCCCCATCCCACAGCGCGCGCATCAGAGGCGCCTCCAGCCGCCAGCTCTCCTTCTCCTGCTCCTCCGCCTCGCCCCCTGCCTGCTTCGCTGCTGCTGCGGGGTCGGGGCGGTCCAGCGAGAGGTTGAAGCGGAAGAGCGAGCCTGGGCCGGGCGTGGGCTTGTCGACTACGGCTATCTTGCCCCCCATCATCTCCACCTGCGAGGAGAGAGGGAGACAGGACAGAGATGGAGGGAAGAAGGGAGGGAGACGGGAGAGAGGCAGGGGAGAGCGAGAGGTTGGAGCGGAAGAGGGACCCGGGGCCGACAATGGGCTTGTCGACTACGGCTATCTTGCCCCCCATCATCTCCACCTGCGAGGGGGAGGGCAGGGGAACAAGAGAAAAATGAGGGAGGTGGGGGCTAGGTTGAATTTAACTGACAGATTGCACCAGCCCCCAGGCCCGTGCCAACCTGTCAGTGTGCCTTCCCCTTCCCCCATGCAAACACCAGACCCAAACACCACTCTCCAACACCATACCCTAACGCCAAACCCTGAACCCTAGCCCCAGGCCTCACCAGTGATCGCACGATGGCCAGTCCCAGCCCCGTGCCGATCCGCCCATGCGCCTGGTCCGCCTGCCCGTACGTCTCAAAGATCGCCTCCCTCTTGTCCTTGGGCACGCCACACCCCGTATCCTCCAGCTCAAACACCAGCTCCACCTTCCCCTTCCCCCTCTCCTTCTCCTCCCCCCCGCCCGCATCCCCTCCCCCGTGCTGACTCCCCTCCATCGCCCCTGACCCTCCCCCTTGCAGCGCCACCCGCTCCCCTTCCGCCCATCCCAACTGCCCGTGCTGCTGCCCCTGCAACTGCCCATGCTGCTGCTGCTGCCCGTACTGCTGCCCGTGCTGCTGACCATGAGCAACGCGGTTCCAGGCGCGGATGACGATGTGGCCATTGGGGGTGAACTTGATGGAGTTGGAGAGCAGGTTGTTGAACACCTGCCGCACGCGGTGCGGGTCGCCCCGCACCATGCGGGTTAAATCATCTGAAAGGTCTAGAGAGATCTCCGTGCCTTTCGTTAAAGCCTGGGGAGAAAAGAGGGGAAGAGGGGGAGGGGGGACGGAGGGGGAGGGGGAGGGGTAGGGGGAGCGTGTGTGCGTCAACGGAGTGATACTGAAGCGAAGAACGAGTATGCAGGGACACTCTCAGATAGCTGAAATTACTTGGTTTTGATCCGCAGCAAGCCTACTAAGAGCGAACTATTTCTACTAATCTGAAAAGGCAAGTATGCAGGGACACTCTCAGATAGCAGACCGTGACCAGCGCATGTGCACCATTACCTGTAGCATTATCTTCAAACGCGTATAATTTCAACCTACGCGTCTGATATTATTGAGTCACACTTGCCAATATTATCTCACCTGCACGGAAAATATCTCCACGATAAGTTCGAGGTCTTTGCGGATGTCAAAGTCGACACACTCCAGCACCAGCTTGCCTGCTTCCACCTGCATGCATGCACGTGCACCACACACACAGTGTACACCCCCACGGACAGAGTCATTGATATGCCTTGACACACGGACAACAACTCACTCCAGCACCAGCTTGCCTGCTTCCACCTGCTCGTACTCCATCCCGTACACCAACATAGTGCACACACACGGAAGGTTGGTTTGGGAATTATTTAACACGCGCACACGCGCGCACCCACGCACACACACACCCGCATGCACGCACGCACGCACGCACGCACGCAAGCACGCACACATGCACCTCGGGCAGCAGGTCTTCACACAACACCAGGTGCACATACACGCGCTACTTTCTTGTTGTTACAGACCCTACAGCGCAGGCACACTGACCTTGCTAAGATCGAGAATCGAGTTGAGCAGGCCTAGCAGGGCCGTGGCCGCCAGTTTGATCTGCTGCACGTTCACATGCACCTCGGGCAGCAGGTCCTCGCACAGCACCAGGTCCAGCAGCCCCAGGATGGCCGCCATGGGTGTGCGCAGCTCGTGGCTCATGCTGGCTAGGAAGGCGCTCTGAGCGGGGAGGGGAAAGGGGGAAGGAGGGCACAGGGGACGTGGAGGGAGAGAGGGGCAGAGGCACAGAGGGATGAGAGAGCAGCAGTCAATCCGGCACAGAGCAAACAAAGCAAGCACCAGGTCCAGCAGCCCCAGGATGGCCGCCATGGGTGTGCGCAGCTCGTGGCTCATGCTGGCTAGGAAGGCGCTCTGAGGGGAGGAAACAAGGGGGAGAGAAGGTTTAGGGGCAGGGGGACTGAGCTGAGGGATGAAATAGCAGCAGCCCAGCAGGCACAGATTAAGCCAACACGAATGCTACAATCAGGAACATGAGTGCTACCTGAGACATCTCGTTACCATCCCCACAACTGTCTGTTGCCACCGTCCATCACCACCGTCCATCACCACCGTCCATCACCACCGTCCATCACCACCGTCCATCACCACCACCCATCACCACCACCCATCACCACCACCCATCACCACCACCCATCACCACCACCCATCACCACCACCCATCCCCACCACCCATCACCACCACCCATCACCACCACCCATCACCACCACCCATCCCCACCACCCATCACCACCACCCATCACCACCACCCATCACCACCACCCATCCCCACCACCCATCACCACCACCCATCACCACCACCCATCACCACCACCCATCCCCACCACCCATCCCCACCACCCATCACCACCACCCATCACCACCACCCATCACCACCACCCATCACCACCACCCATCACCACCACCCATCACCACCACCCATCACCACCACCCATCACCACCACCCATCACCGTTACCTTAGTCTGGGACCTCGTTTCTGCCCTCTTGGTGAGCATCATCTGCCTCTGCACCTCGTCCTGCCACCGCACCACAGAGGAGGGGGTATGGGAGAGAGAGGGTGTGGGATAATCTTTTAGGAGCCCTAAGTTTCTGCCCTCTTGGTGAGCATCATCTGCCTCTGCACCTCGTCCTGCCACCGCACCACAGAGGAGAGGGCGTGGGGGGAAGGGCGTGGAAGAGAGGGAATGAGATGCAAGGCACGAGAGAAAAGGTAATTGACGAGCGGCAGCGCGCAGGAGAAGAGAGCCGAGAGGGAGAGCAGCAGAGAGGCCTGACCTTCATGGGAACTAGTCCTCATCTTTACCTCTTCATTACCACTTCACCCCTCTTCAACCCTCTTCACCCCTCTTCACCTTTTCCCCCCATGTTGATAGATACCTACCTGCAGGAAAGCAATGTTGCTGCTGCGCGTGCAAACAGCTAAGGCCAGAAGCAGCACGCAGGCGAGCAGAGCAGCAAGGGAGAGCAGCATAGAAGCCTGACCTTCAATTGTCCACTTCTTCAAGACCCACTCCACCCCACTCCACCCAACTTCACCCCACTTCATCCCACCGCACCCCACTTCACCCCTATTCACACCTATCCATCTAGACACTAACCTGCAGAAAAGACACGTTGCCGCTGCGCCTGCAAACGGCGGAGACGAGCAGCACCGCGCAGGCGAGCAGAGCAGCGAGGGAGAGCAGCAGCAGCACGAGGGAGGCGATTTTTGTGGAGGTTGGGGGGGGTGTCTCGTACAGGGTCACTGCTGATGCATACACGATGGTCTGCCCAGAGGGAGGGGAGGGATGGGGAGGGATGGGGAGGGATGGGGAACGGTGGGGAGGGGTGGGGGATGAGACACTGGTGGAGGTTGGGGGTGATGTCTCATACAGGGCCACTGCTGATGCATACACAATGATCTGCAATGGGAGAGCGGGGGAGGCGAGTGGGGGAGGGGAGGGTGAGAGGGACGCGAGGTGCACACGACAGTTTAGATGTAACGGGGTAGAGAGAGGAGTGGCGAGGGAGAGCAGATGCATGCGGAAAAGGATTGAAGGGGAGGCGGGGCGGAGGGAGAGAGCTCCAGGGCATGTGGTGGACTCACGTAATTGGCAGCAGTGCTGAAGACAAGAGGAAGAGAGTCAACGTAGTACTCCTGGCCGGCGATATTTGTCTGTAACGATCTCATTACGCTGCCTAACGCTGCTGCTGACGTGTTCACCGGAGCTGCTTCCACCACAGGCACTGCTGACTCAGCAGGTTTGCCTAACCCTAACGCAGACATTGCTGACGTCACTATGACATCATTGGGTGCTAAGGGCCCACCCGCTGCGCCAGAAGAGGACAGCAAAAGCCCTCCAGTGGCTGAAACAAGCAGCAGACGCGAAGGAAGCTTCTGGGTTTCTTCAGGACTGGCTGGCCTGCTGCCAGAGTTGATGCTGATGCCAGCCCATGCTGCTGCCACGTCAGCAAGGGATACAGCTGCCAGGCTAGCACCCACTGACGTGGCACTTGCTGAGCTGGCACTACCACCCAAAAAAACGGGAGAGAGCGCTGCTAAAAAGGCCAAAGGCCACTCAGGAGGGAGAGCTTTATCTGAGGGCGGGCAATCAGCAGGGAGTGCTGTATTGAATGTGTCTATGAAGGAGCCTGATTGTAGCGAGAGAGAGGCACTGTAGCCTGGTACAGTGCGCAGGTCAGGCAGCATGGCCGTACTCACTGCAGACTGATTCAATAATGATCCGTTTAGAAAAGTCCCCTCTAGAATGTAAGGTAAAAGTGTGCAAGGAGAAGGTGGGACGGTGGCTGCTGCTACTGTTACTGCTGCTACCGAGGCTGAAACTGAGGCTGGGCCCGAGCTTGGGACAAAGCTGGATCTGCTGCTATGGCTGCTGCGAACGGTGCCTCTACTCTGGGTTGAGACAGCAGCAGCAGCAGCAGCAGCCGATGCAGCACTGGTCTGCTGCTCTGCTGCAGCATTGCCTGGTACCTTACTACCAGCAGAGTTTCTCGCCCCTTGCGGTCTATGAAACTCGGAATGGTGCAGTGCGGTGGAGATGGCAGACGAGACAGCAAGCCGTCTCGAAGGCACCCCAGACGGGGCGTTGGAGAGGGTAAGTGTGGGGTCAGAGACAGTCACAGTTGGCCGGTTGCTGTTGCGGTTACTGTTGCCGTTGCCGTTGCTGCTTCCCAAGCTCCGTTCCGCCCCAAGGCCTGGGCTGGTTCCTACAGCAGCATCTGGAGGAGCGAGGGGCAGGTTGAGTGGCGATCGGATGCGGTACAGAGGAGCAGCAACGAGGCTGTTGCTGCTGTCAATGTTGCCCATACTGCTGCTTCTATCTTTATCACTACTGCTGCGTTCGCTACTGTGAGAGGGACCTTGCGAGGGGCGCAGGTAGCCGGTAAGAGAGCTGTCTGGGGCAACGAATGTGGCGATGTGGAGAGACGGATCAGGCCGAATGAAGGGGAAGGACGTGACCAGCAGGGCCTGCAGTGGTAAGGGGAGAGGGGACGGAGGAGCGGTTGGGTGGGAGCGGGAGGGAGGGGCATGGAGATGGTGGTGGTGGAGGGGACGATGGGGAAATATGGTGAGAGAAAGAACTGGACGGAGTTCCAGAGATGAGATAAGGTGCGTGGAAGGGAACGAACGGTGAAGATAAGATGGAGCAGGAACTCTCGTGGGAGAAAGACATGTGTGTAGGGAGAGCAGAAGGGGATTTGTGGGGAGGTGGGGGAGGGGGAAGGAGAGGAGGGGTGGTTTCGAATTGGACTGTGTGGGGGAGGTGGAGGAGGGATACTGGGAATTCAAAAGATAATGTTGTCCGCAATGAGGTTATGGCAGTAACGTAGTTCGCACCTCCTGGGCGTGTGCTAGAATGCTTGTTAGGTTGTTTCTGCTGCTCTGTGTGCCACCAGTGCTGACGTTGCTTCTGGTCACGGCGTTCAGCGCTGACGTCAGTGCCATTGCCTGCGCCACTGCCGCGTATTGCAACCTCTGTTGAATGCGGGAAGGCGGGAGCGGGGAGATGGGGGGGAAGGGGGGGAAAGTGGGGAAAACGGGAGGAGAGGGGGGAAACGAAGGAAAGGGAGGAAGGGAGGAAATGAAGGCACACTGGGGCCCGGGGATGGATGGGCGGATGAGCAAAGGGGGGAAGGGATCCCGATTAGGGCAACGAACTGATTGGGCACACAGAGGAAGGATTCTAGAGGAAGGGGGGTCAAGGGGACGACGAGTGGAAGGGCGGGGTTGGGAGAGGAGGAGGGGGGGGGAGGAGGGGGAGAGAGAACGGAGAGGGGGGGAGGGGCTTTTATGGATGTGAATGGCAGAGGAGCATTACCCAGAAGGTTATGCTGATGACCTTGGTTTTTGTCTGTCATTTGGTGGATAGAGAGAACGGTGAGGTGTTGAATGCGCAGATGGAAGGGGAGGGAGTGGAAGAGCGGCTACCCCGGTCTCGGGCTACGAGGGATACTGTTTTGAGACGTCTCAGAACACGGTTACCCAGGTCCCAGGCTAGGAGGCATGCTGAGCAAATAACGGCGAGAGCAGCGGGGCGTTGGGCGCACAGGCGGAGGGGGAGGGAGTGCAGGGCGGTTAACCAAGTCCCAGGCTAGGAGGCATATTGTGTGCAGTTACCTGTTGGATGGAGAGAACGGCGAGCGCGGCGGCGTCTAGGCGTTGTGTGCGCAGGTGGAGGGGGAGGGAGTTGTCCGGGGACTAACCAGGACCCAAGCCGAGAGGTATACTGTGCGGAATTACCTGTTGGATGGAAAGGACGGCAAGAGCAGCGGCGTCTAGGCGTTGTGTGCGCAGGTGGAGGGGGAGGGAGTTGTCAGGGGACTGCATGGCGGAGATGAACGCCCAGCACAGCACCGCCAGCAGCACCAGCGCGGAAAACGCTGCAGCCTGTGGCGCGGACGGTTTGAGTCCGTGCAAGGACCGCAAGGGTGGGACGGGGGGACGGGGAGGCGAGGGGGGATGGTGGAGTAGGGAGTAAAAGGAAGCGAACGGTTGGAATTATCTCCTATGTAAGGTTGAACTTGGAACAATCTAAACGAGTCGCGCTTTAGTGAAACCCTAGAGAACATCACGCACGTAAGAAGCCACGTGGCAGCAAGGCGTTTGCCGCGCTGACGACCCCTTCTACGCGCTCCGCACGGGCACACCACGAGGTGCGAAACATCGTCTACTTTGGCGAAATATGTAACCGCCAAGCCCGACGCGCTGTCATTCTGAGAACCTTAGGTGAGCTGCGTTGCCTCTTATAAGAAAATGACGCCAATCTCGCCGAGAGTCACTACAATGGCTATACGCGACGCCACGCCATGCCATCCCGTCAGTGCTTGGACCCATTCCAGACTGACGGCGACTGCTACTACGACGCCTCTAAGTACGACAGGCTCGGTCTCGAGCCGCGGCGCGACAGGTACCTGACGTGGCACAGAACTCGAGATCGCGATCGCTGAGTGACCTAGGTCTCGTGCGCGTAATTTTCAGAATCCCCCCAAAAGAAAATGACATTTCGAAGAACTCTCAAGCTGACTGAGCTAATCACCAGACGAAGCGGCTGTGCGTGGCAATAAGTGGCACTAGAACGGCGGGAGGCTTGGCGTGAAGAGCAAATGCAATCGCGAACGACGCGTTAAGATTTCTAGCGTTTCATGATCAAGCGAGAGCTCTGTGAGACCAATTGCACAGGAAACGGAACGGACCAATATCGCGTATGTAGTCCATTTGACGGGTTTCGCGGCCATGATCATCTGTAACTTCTCCTCGTGTCGCCGCCGCTCCTCCTCCTCCCTCTCCTCCTCCTCCATCTCCCCAAGCTCTAAGTCCTCTTCGCTTAGCCGCATCGGTCGGCAATACCAAGGCAGATACCGTCGTCTGTACGCGTGCCGCTTCTCCGTGTAGGATTCCATGATAAATATCGAACCGAGTTAGTGGTGTATAATGTTGATCAAATTTTGCTGTCAGGAGTAATTACCGAACGGAGTCGTGTTCAATCACCGAGTCACAAACAGTATTTGAAGCTAAATGTATTGAGAATGGTACGTGGAACTTCTTTAGTTGCGACAGCGCGTTGTCCGTATTTGCCATGGCCGACTCGAAACGTATACCTGTGCGTTCCTCACACTCTCGCGATAGGTGCCGGCCTGAGCAGCGACGAGGCGATCAAATAGCGCGAACATAATTATTTTCTTAGAAAGGAAATCCTAGAATCAATCCGTACTAGCGCTCTCATTGGCTCTCAGTTCAAGAGAATGCTTCGACAGAACAGCCCACTCTCATGACATGAGCCTCCGTCATTTCAGCGGCAGGTTCACTTCTGGCAGCCTGATGAGAGCCAATGGCTGTCGTGTTGTCCGTCTCACACGGCTTCCGTTCCGTACTGAAGCTTCTGTTCTGCTGCTTGGGTCTTCGCCCGAAGTTCAAACAGAGGCTGCTTCGTTTGTCGCAGGCTCCCACAATTTGGGTCGTGAAGAGTGGCGCCCTTCGGCGACATGTCGCACTTACTCATGCGACAGCTTCATTTGCCGGGCATCGGTGTGAGACTGGTTACTCAGACGTTCACGAAACCGTTCTCGAATTCCGCCATGCCACCACCTGCCCTACCAATTTTGTGCTAACGGTCAGGATGTAACCCGCGAATGGACTTCGCACCGAACCGTACTGTAACGCAGTCAGTGACTGGTTGCTTCAGGTAGGAACAACGGCTCGCTTACACTGACGACACGTCGGATATGGGACAACTTTCAAAACAGTATTTGGTGGAAGTATGTGTACATACAGAACGGTGCTGTGCGTTTTAAGAGGTGTTTCTATTGCCCTCCAAAACCACGAGCCACCACGTCATGAAACGCACTTGTTCCTTGTGGTGCAGACAGCGCCACACGGACACGAATGGTTTGGTGGGTCCGAGAGCGTGGCGTTTCGTTTCTTCCAACTGCACTGTTACTCGCCACCACCAGCTGTACCAAGCGTACGTCATCGTGGATACAGTTCTGCATGAACACAGACTGTGCCATGAATACAGTGACCACTGACCACACTTCTTTGGGATGCTGCTGCTGCTGCTGCTGTTGAGTGCAGTGCTGACCGTTCCCCCAACCATAAGGACGTGTCTCACTTCCGACGAGTCTGCGAGCCGGTCCGCTCTTGGAAATGTTGCACCCCAAAACCGTGGACTGGTCCGCCGGACCAGGTTGAGTCCGTACTGGCGAACCAGCTTCGGACTGGTCCGCTGATGAAATCTACAGTGGCGTGAAGGCGAGAACACTGCGTGTTTTTCCCAACACTAGGTTACTATGACTCGTAAGGGCTTCATGTCATTGGGCAATCCGCCATCGCGCGCTGTCAAGTTTTGCGACACTTGTGGGGTGAGTTCGCAACTATTCGAGAAAAGACGACTGTTCAGGAGTCCGACGTGGACCAGCTCGCCGAACCAGTCAAGACTCCCCAGTACAGTCCTTTTCCGTCGTTAAAACACGCGGGTCCACGCTCCGGTCCACGCTCGGGTCCGTGGTGGTTTGGTGGACTGGTCCACGTCGACCGCCTAGATCCAGCGTGGACCGAAGATTTTGAGACACCCTCTAAACCTCGTCACGAGCACTGTGCAGTGAGCACAAACCTAGTTTTGCTTGGTTGGTGGCGGTGTGTGCAAGTGCGTCGGGAAGCACCACATTCGGCGGCGCACGCTGGGTTGCGGTTTCCTTCATTATAAGTGGCTGGTTCAGCTCCAGAAATAGTTGTTATGACACATGAAGAGTTGTCACAAGTTATTACTAGTCAATAACAAAGCTATGTGTTACGAGTGCAATTGATGAATTGAGCAAGGAGAAGAAGCAAATGGTTGAGCGGGCTTGCGAGCTAGTTAGTGCGATGATGGCAACGAGGCTCGGGCCAGTCTCAAAGCGTAGGCCGACTCGGCCAAGTCCAACACTAAGTGGTTTGACATGCAAAATAGCGACACTGTTAGGCTGTAACGGGCGATGAACGATTTGGTGTGGCACTCATTGTGTTGGTGCGCATTAATGAATCTGTATTCTACCCCCTCTCCCCAATAAGTCATTCCGCTAAGTTAGCGCATCTACGTACTCCCCGGCTTCGCAAGTACTTTAGGGCAGGGTGTATTTTAATGTTGCCCAGGGGCACCCAGCTATCTTCCGTTGGGGTGCGATCCTTCAAGCGGGCGAAGATTCAATCCTCCGAGATCCGTGGGGGTCTTGAATCTAATTACACAGAAAAAATATCACCTTCGAATATGGTCTCCAATGCAATCATTGACGTTGGTCGGTGTTGTGGCTGTTGACTGGTGGTTGGGATGTACGGACGGAACATGCTGACGTAGAATGGCGGGTTGTACCAGTCGGCGGGTAGCAGGAGGTGCGAAACGACGGGGGTGAACACGTGGATAATTTGAAACGGGCCATTGTCGCGGGGTTGTAATTTCAGCAGGACGAACAGTCGAAGTTTCCGGGTGTCAAGCAGCACGTAGTTTCCTAACTGGTACCTGACGGGCTGTTGGTGGAAATAGGCGTTGCTTTTTGCTTTCTCAATTGCCTCTGTTGCGCGGGTTTGGGCAACTTGCAGTATTTCGACGAAATGTTGAGCGAGCGGTGGCGGGTTTTTCGGGCTCGATGATATGGCCTGTCTGTCCTTACTCCAGGTAGAACGGTGACTGTTGTGTCTTGGCTGATGTGGCATTGTTGTAGGCAAACTCAATCAGTGGTAATTGTTGTTCACATGCTACAGAGTCGTCACACGTGGCGCGAATTAACTGCTCCATGGTCTTGTCAAACTATAATGCTACTTATGTTGTGTAGGCTGTAGTGGAGTAGCCTATATGGGGTACAACCCAATTGGGGTGAGCACTTGTACTACAATTCTGATCAACGCGTTCATTCCTGCTCCTTAGTTTCCTGACATGGTTTCAAAGAAGTAGGTCCGTAGGACCGTTTATTTCGGGCCCACCATTAGCTAGTGACCGACTGCGGTTACCGCCCTCCCCCGAGTTGCGCTGCCCCGCGCACGCCCTGCCCTGCCCCGCGTCGCGCTGCCCCGTGCATGCCCTGCCCTGCTCTGCGTTGCGCTGCCCCGCGCACGCCCTACCCAACACCGCGTCGCGCTGCCCCGCGCACGCCCTGCCCTGCCCAGCGTTGCGCTGCCCCGTGCACGCCCTGCCTTGCCCTGCGCCACCCGCGCGCTGCCCTTTGCAGCCCCACGCACCGCCCTGCAGCCCGCGTGCCGCGCTGCCTGCCCGCGCGCCGCGCTGCCTGCCCACGAGCCGCGCTGCTTGCTCGCGCGCCGCCCTCTGCAGCCCGCGCGTTGCCCTTCTGGCCGCACGTCGCCCTGCTGGCCGCGCGCCGCCCTTGCAGCCCGCGCGTTGCCCTTTGCAACCCCACGCACCACCTTGCAGCCCGCGCGCCACGCTGCATGTCCGCGCGCCGCGCTGTCTGCCCGCGTGTCAGAAACAAGAAGTGATTGAACTACGAAACATTGGAGTACAAGTATGAAACCCTCGAGTTGTGTACCCCCTAAAGGCTAACCCACTATAGCCTACACAGCAATAACATATAGATAATGTTTGACACACCCCCATAGGCAAAGTGGGGGAGAACAAGGGGTCACAAGACCAGTCAAGAAAGGCAAAGCAAGCTCAGGGTGGATCACAACGTCACCACACACTCTGAGCACAAGCAAAGGGCCACAGGGCCAGTTCACATGCAGAGGTATATATGCAACACAAACAGCAAGGTGATCTCAACTTAGCAAAGCAAACAGGCAGGTATATATATATAGAGAGATCACAGTACAGACAAAGCCTACAGCAAGTGAGGAAAAGTGGGCACAAGCCCCAGCATAGTGCAGAAGCGCTGATGATCACCAGGCTGAAGTGCCTTGGTGAATATATCAGCGGTGTTGGCCCGAGTGGCCACGTAACGCAGACGAAGCTGACCGCGCTGCTGCAGCTCTCGAGCCAGGAAGTAACGCAGAGCGATGTGCTTCGTCCTGTGCTCCAGTCTGTGCTCCTCACACAAGGCAATGGCAGCCTTGTTGTCGACGTACAGCACTGGAGGAGAACTAGGCCGCTCTCCCAAGTCAGTCAGCAGGTAGGTCAGCCAGCGTAGCTCCTGTGCAGCCATGGCTGTGGCGTAGATCCCAGCCTCACAACTGGAGCTGAGAACTGAAGACGAGCGAGTAGAACGCCAAGAAACTGAACCAGAGCCAAGGCTGAAGGAGTAACCCTGTGACGACCGCTGAGTAGCCTGGTCGTCAACCCAAGAAGCGTCTGAGTGCCCAGTGAGAACAACTGAGCGCCTCCCTCCAAGCACGAGCCCCATGCCTGACGTACTGCACAAGTAACGCAGTACCCTCTTAGCAGCATCCATGTGCACCTTTCGGTGCCGACCAGGAGCCACGTAGCGAGCCAGAAGGCCAAGAGGGTACGCGAGGTCAGGACGAGTGCAAGTCATCAGGTACATGAGGCAACCAACTAGCTCTGGGTAAGGACCACTCGGCTCTACGGACTCGTCCGAAGGTGGAGCTGAGAGCGAGTGACCTGTAGCCAGAGGAGTGGCCTATGCCGAGGACCAGGTGAAGCCGAAGCGCTGAAGGACCTGCTGCACCATGTATGACTGAGTCAGTGTGATGGTGCGGCGTGCTCTGTCCCGGGTGATCCGCAAGCCAAGATAGCTTGTCAGCTCACCCAGGTCTGTGCACGTGTGTCTCTTCTGCAGCTCCGACTTCACGTGGGCGAGAGCCTCAGTGTCAGGAGTGGCAAAGACCAAGTCGTCGACGTACACGAGGATGTAGAACGGCGGCAGCGAAGTGTCGGTGCGCAGAAACAGCGACG